GTATGTTTATACATCAAGGTCGCTTAAGGTGGAATACTGAAGAAATGACAAATTTGCATTACTTCCGCGAGAATTTATTCTATGATGTCATTGATATGCAACTTCAAGAGTTGAATGATCGATTCACCGAGGTAAATAATGAGCTACTTCTTTGTGTAGCATGCTTATGTCCCAATGATTCATTCTCGGCTTTTGATAAGAAAATGTTAGTTCGCCTTGCTCAGTATTATCCAAACGATTTTTCAACAACAAATTGTATGAAACTTGATGATCAACTTGAAACTTATATCTCTGATATGCGCTCGAGCAAAGATTTCAAAGAACTACGTGGCCTTAGTAATCTTTCAAAGAAGTTGAATGCAACTAAGAAAAATGAAGTATATCCATTAGTTTACAAGCTTGTGAATTTGGCATTAATTCTTCCCGTTGCTACTCCTACAGTTGAGAGAGTTTTGACTGCAACTAACATTGTGAAGGGTCGACTGCGCAAAAAAATTGGAGATCAGTGGATGAATGACAACTTAGTTGTATATATTGAAAATGATGTATTCCAAAAAATAGATGATGATGTCATTATGCGTGGTTTCCGAAGTGTGAAAACCTGTTGGGAACAATGGTAAAATGTTGTGACATTTTTAATATTATTTTTTTATTGGCTTATTTCCAAAATTTATATCTTGTCAAGTCTTTACCCCACTGAACCCCATTCTAATTCCACCCCTGATATGCCGAGGGATTCACATGAATAGACACAAATTCAGTGGACATTTCATGAAAAGTGAACAGCAGGGAACATGAGTTGGCAAGGACATATTGAAAACCTGTAAGATTTTATTGCTTTTATTATGAATTCGAGACCAGTCAGATAGGTATTTGAAGAAAATTGTTAAAACAGTTAAGTAGAAAAACACTAGCAGCAGAGTCGCATCGGTTTCTATAGGAGATAATGTTTAAGGTCTTCCAGAAAGAGAAATGTCAAGGTTTTAAACATCCAAAATGGACTTCGGGGGGATCTTTTTTAGGTCAGACCAGGATGTTAGTTTTTTTTTTTCTTTTTTTGGAAAAAGTAGAATATGATACAATTTCAACATATTCAGTTGGACAGTTTCTACCACCAAGGTTTAGATAAATAATTCATTTGTGATAGACTACTTAGCAATTCACTTATTGTTTCTCTATATTATTATTGTCACGTGAATTTGGTCCTTTTGTCAAAAGTAGACCCTCTCATTTAACACCTTATGGTACTTTTTCTTATTAGCTAAACATACCTTGTTGAATTTTAAGTGGTTAGTAGAAACTACACAGTTGGAATCTGGTGTTGTTTTAAATTTCTCTGTTCATACTAGTTTTCTTTTCTATAGTTGTAAGAGGATTCCTGAATTCATGCTGTATCAATGGGAGATCTATTCAATCAGTTTCTGGGGTTTTGATCAAGTTTTAGAACTGTAGAATCCCACATTGCATGTGTACTATATATGTAATACTTCTTAGAACTTATAACGAGTTCTTCTCCTTGTGGAAGTAAAATAGGGGTGGACATTGTAGAGTTCAAAACCTTGCAATATCGGGTAAGTGAAATTTCTACCTTGAAAATGTGATTTGAACATTGGCCTTAGGACACTGAAAGGTTGAACCTGTATCTTTTATGAATTGCCTTGCAGTTTGTTGACATTAGCACTGAAACAAATTTGAATCCTTAGGACACTGAAAGGTTGCACCTGTTTCTTTTTTGAATTGCCTTGCAGTTTGTTGACATTAGCACTGAAACAATTTTGAACTGGTGAAGAGCTCTACATACATTGTTTCTACTAATTTTTTGACTTGTTCTTGACTCTTGAGGTGCTATAAAGATGATGCTGTAGTTTGAGAAAGAATATGATGTTATCTTTTCAGTAAGCTAGTTTAATTGTGAACAACTATGCTTTATTTTTTAGCCAAGTTGACAAATTTTATTTATTTAAAATTATAAGCTCATAAGTAATTAAATTTTGAATTGTTCCTGCATCGAATGAGGCTGTCCACGGGAGGATTTTAGCCCACAAGAAAAATGCAGTTTTGTAAAGTCAGCTGAAAAGTATAAAAATTCCACCCCACCCTTGGATCTGAAGGTCAAATACTCACTTTTCTATTTCTTAAACTGAAGAAATGAACTTTAAAAAAGTTCATGGGGTAGCACATTAAGAGCATCCCTAATTCAAAATCATCGTTGCAAAATAAGTGAAAATGATCAGATATGATGGAAAGCAATTAAGAGTTAAGTTTTAGTTAATTAAACCAGTGTCCCCTTTGCTTTGTCTCGGACATCTCATCAAATGTTTATATGATATCATCGCGTTTGGTAACGAGAATCGGATATTATTGATCACCGAAGTTTAAGATGTTGAGTTTTGACTACTAAATTTATCCAAACGTTATACGTTACTCACTGCATAACATCTGTTTCAAATCTTTAATGGAATTAGTGACATGGCTAACGGAATGCACATGCGGCATCCCATCACATTGTGAATAAATTATCACATTTTCGATTACTCAATAAACTTTGAAAAATGTCTTCTATTACTTGCTAAACTTTGAAAAACGTCTTTGATTGCTCACTAAACTTTTAGATGGTCGATGTTTGGCCACTAATTTTATAAAAATGATGTTGGGCCGTTTGTTAAAAATGAGTACCGCGAATCGAAGTTTGCGGCACAAGCACAGCTCGAGTAAAATCGGATTGAACTTTTTTTGGCTCGACCCTCGACCGAAAAAATAGGGCTCAGCTGTAGCTTTCGACCAGGGCCTTTCAGAGCCGAGCCTAGCCAAGCCAAGTTGGATCATTTTTTCCCTAAAATTCTATTTTTTTAAAGACAACTATGCAACTACCTTGTAAAAGGCAGTCGTAACTGCCTTTGAATTTAAAGACACTGCCTTTGCAATAAGGTATCTGCTCTATTTTCAAGACACGTGCCAAAATGGCCCATGTTGGTGTGACCGACATGGACTGGGGAGCCATACGAGTTGGCTGGAGCTCAGACCAACACTCGAAAATGAGGTTTGGCCGGAGTCTTGGCTCAGTTCTAGCGAGCCACGAGTTGAGTTGGCTTGAGCTTTTTCATGGCCAAGCCACGAGCCGCTCGAGCTAAATTGACATTCATATGCACGGGTCACGTAAAAGTAATAAATTAAACAAAAGATTCCAAGTTGTCGTTCTACGAGAAATGATTATTCAATTACATAATAGTTAAATTTATTTTTAACATATTTTTGTAGTCAAGATGGAGTCGGAATTTTCTTTTATTCTATGTTTTTTTTCTCATTTTTCTCTCATCTTTTATTTAAACTTAAGCATGACAATGATTTCACCCCTAAAAATCTAGACATTAGAAACTCAAATATCAATTTAATATAAAATTGAACATAGGAATGACAATCTCCTACTACATTGGTGAATCAGGGTATGGAAGGGAACATGTTTGCTACCTCGTCTCTTATTTTTTATTTTAAAGTAAGAGTGAGTGCGATCTGGATCGATCGATTTTAAAAAGAGTCGAACTAAATTGAACCTAATACCAATGAAAATCTTAGAAATGAGACCATTGGTTCCATATCAAACTATAGAACCGAATCAATCGGTTCCGATTCGATCCAATCCAATTCTTTATATTGAAAAAATTATAAAAATAAAGTATGTAACTACTTGTGACACTGAAAGTAGATAAAATAGAGTATGAAATCACTTATCATTCTTGTAATCTAATAATTACAAAAAAAAATCCATTAAACAAGACAACAAACAAAATTTCAGTCCAAAATTTCAGTCCAAAGCTCAAGATTAACTCATAAAGGCAAAAAAAAAAAAAAGAATAAACTATAAAACACATTATAAATGGTAAAATTTCGATCGAAAATTAATTCTTACGAAAATCCTTATAACAATAACTTGATTATCTTTAGTAATCCTCAAGGAACTTGATTCTTGATAGACGATCACTTTGAAAACAATGAGAAATTTGAATTTATGAATTATTGAACTATATATATATTTTTATTAGGTTGCATTAAAACTATGAATTTGTAAAATATTTATAAAATTATTTAGATTTTAATTTTGATTATCCATTAAAGGAAAGAAGAAAAAGAGTATGGAAAAAGAAATTTTAACTTGAGATAATTTTGAGATCTAGCGTTCAAAGATCCTGTGTATTTTGATGCAAACAAAAAGAGAAATTCTGAAGAACCATATTCAATATTTGTTCTCAAGATTGTATTGAGAATTGGACCGATAGACGTACGGTTCCAAAATTGACACATTTAGTAAAGGAATTGGACCGAACCGACTGGTTCTATGTAGATCTAGCTCACCCCTATTTTAATTTTAAGCAGTATTAATATAAAAAAAAATGTTAGAAAAATAAATAAATGGAGGAAATGTCCCAAAAATGAGGATATATTTGTTCAATCCCGATTCAATCTCGTTGCCTTCCCTAATTGAATGGTTTGTCCATGCAAAGATTGATTTAGCCCTTATTTGATAGAGATTAAACCAAATTTTTAGTAAATTTTGATAAAAGTTAATGAAATGTGTGATTGAAAAATTATGGATCCCATGAAATGTGTGGTTAAATTAATTGTTATTTTTGACTTGAGATTTTAATTGAATTTTAATCCAAATCAATAGGCAACTAAAGGGAAATAATTCAGGAGCCATTCTATTGAGGAATCACTGTTGGAGTAAGATTACTAGAAAATCTTAATCACATGCTGATTTAGCGGCCTTCTTCAATTAGAACTCGACTTCATAAATTCCTATATAAGTCTGAAATGTAATTCAGGAGCCATTAAGGAGTCCCTGTTGAAGTAAGATTATCCGAAAATCTTAATCACATTCTGATTTTAGCCTTGTTCGATTAGAACTCGACTTCATAAATTCCTTCATAAGTCTGAAAGTGGCAAATTCCGATTACATATTATATTTGTTGTTCATGCGATTGCTATTCCTTTATTGAGAAATTATGGCGTTTAAACCCAGTTTCGACAATGCCCTGTCGTTCGTTGATATTGTGAAGCAACGGTTTCACGATCAAGAAAGCATTTATCGAGAGTTCCGTTATCTTTGTGAAGGGTTCAGCAGAGAATTTACAGACCCAGAAAGTGTAATTTCACAGGTGAAGAACCTGTTCAGCGATCACCCGGATTTGATTTCACACTTCCTCAATTTTGTGCCAAATATTTTACAGAGGGACAAAGAAGCTGCTGCTGCTGCTTGTGCTCCAACAACGTCAAGAAATTCATCTGATGAGGATGGAAGGGAAAAAACAAAATCCTGTATTGAATTTGTGAATTGGGTTGCGGGAACTTTGCAGGATGATTACAAGTATAAATTGTTTCTTGATGCTGTTAATGGTTTGGGGAAATACAAGGACATTGATCGAGTTCGTGAGGAGGTTTCTGTTATATTCAAGGATTACCCGGACTTGGATATTGAGTTTTCGAGGTTTTTACTGGATGCTGTACTGCAGGAGATAACTGAATGTAAACAAGTCCTGTTCGATTGTGAGGATGAAATGTATGAATTTGACATGAAGTATCATTCTTTGAAATCAAAAATGGAGGCCGTGGATCAAGTGGCAGAGGAACTGAAAAGAAATCAGAACGAATCGATCTACATTGAAGATTATGTAGCCACCATAAAGTCGCGTCTGAATAATAAGTACACGAAGCTTAAAAAGGATCGCGAAATGTCTAAAATAAAGTGCGCAAGAATAATGAAAGAAACCCATGAAAAGATAAACAGTCATATGGCTTCTGTCAAGAAAGCAAGTGCAAGTGCAAGTGCAAGTGCAAAGAGGTCGACCCCAGAATCAACACCTCAGGCCGAAGACAACAAGGAGAACACTTTCTCGGAGAATGAGGTGAATCCAAGATCTGAACCCGAGCAAGTTCAGCGGGTTAAAAGAGTCAGAGTAAAATATTCTAAGGGATGATTGTAAAAGTTTGTCTGTCAATGAATTTATGTGAGATATTCGATCTGTTATTGCACATTGTTAACGTAATTCTATACAGTACATTCTTGTGCAAATTTTACTTTATGATTTGCTCTAAGGTAGTATTGCATTAAATTCTTTATTCTGCTATATGTTCTTGTCTTGTCTTTCTTGTTTGTAATCATTCACATTTTCATCTTTAAGTCATCATAAAGAACAATAAAACTGAAATAATTTAAAGAAAATCTGTTTTAGTTGCAGAGATCAATCAACTCTAAGGACCAACTGTACTTAAAATTCTCTGTAGAAACCATTGCGCTGTTACTTTGAAATCCATTAGACCTCCCACTTTGGATATTGTTGCAGAAATTACCTCGACCTGCAAATTAATCAAGTTAATTTCAGAAGCAGGGATTACTATATCTTTCTTAATCAAATTTGACATATAATGCAAGGAATAAGATGTACTCCTAAATCTTATTTTAAGAGCTAAGATGGTCTATTTTACTTGCTTCGCAATGGTTTATTTTCTATTTTCTAGTTTGCATCTTGCCACGTGTTTGTAATCAGGAAGCCGGTGCTCATCCTAACTGCAATCACCAATCAATTTCACAAGATGGGGATGCCTTAGTTGCCCAAGAAGCATGACTTCAGTCTATTAACATAGAAGAAAAACACAACTTATGTATTGATAGGAAAATTGTGAAAAGAGAGGGAAAATAGTCTGCCCTGAGTGCCATTAAAATCAAACTTAACAGCAACAGGCTGAGCCTCCAACCCGGCCTAAAGCTTATCATCTATGAATCCCTTGTGCACTAGCCCGAATCCACCTTCACCAAGAAAATTACTAGACGAAATGTCATTTGTAATTTCTTTCAGTTGTTCCAGAGTGAAAATGTGAAAATTTGATTTAATGGGAGAATTGGAGATATCACCAGTTGAGTAACTTGTATCAGCATTGATATCCTTTTGACAGAATCTTGTTTGCAAGTGGGTAAGAAACATCCATATGTAATATTGTTGAGACTCTTATATTGTTAATTGTAATTTATAACTTCTAAGTCCTGCTATCAGAAAAAATTAGAGATGGATATGAATATATAATAAATAGGTTTTGGATGAAGTGAATCAGAGCAAAATATTCAAAGGGATTATTGTAAAAATTTATTTGTCAATGCGAAGTTCACGAAAATACTCGTGTTATTCACGGTTTCAAATTTATGTGATATATTCGCTCTGTTATTGCACATTGTTAATGTAATTTTATACTGTCCATCTTGTGCAAATTTTACTTAACTTGTTCTAAGGTAGTATTTATTAGATTCTATTAATCTTTATTCTCCTAAATGTTGTCTTTTCTTTCTTGTTTGCAATGAGTCTCATTTTACATCTCTGTTATCCTAAAGAACAAAACTGGAATAATTTAAACAAAATCTGTTTGTCTCTGATCAATCAACTCTAGGGACCAATTATAGTTCCAATCCTCTGCAGAAAACCATTGCGCTGTATTTTTTCAATCCAATAGACCTCCCACTTTCGATGTTGTAGTAGATATGACCTCAACTTGAGGTAATTTCAGCGGCAGGGATTTCTGTATCTTTCTTAATCAAATTTACCAGTTTCTCAGGTATTTTTCGACTACTAGATTTTCCAGCACTCGTACAAATTCTGCTATATTAATGGAATCTGCAGTAAGTGAGGAAGACATACAATGTTTCCAGCTTCTCCAATTGTTGAGATACCACTACCCGCGAAAGACTCTCTCTCTGAGGCTTTGCGTTAATTCTTCGGACCAGACCAGAAAATAGCACCCTGCTATCCTCTTAAGGTTTAATATTTTCGTCACCATTTCATATCTTTATCGGCATGTCAACCACATAATGAGCTGGAAAAGAATCATAGTATTGGAAAAGAATCATAATTAGAAGCAGCGCTAGAATCCTAGGTGGGAGGTGATTCGATAGAGAATGTAACAATCCAAATTTTTAAAGTTTAAATCGTTACTATACATTTCATTCGATAATTAAATGAATATATCAAACAGCCTAACATGAAAATTTTGGTTCTACCAATGGTAAATAAAACATTTAGGAAACATATTCAAATAAAATACGTTCCAAACAACAAGATTCACGTGATAAATAAACCAAAATAATGCTGAAAAAAAATCCATAGTCACGTTACACCAGATTATTTATTTAGTTCCACAAATCCTGACACGGTGACAACACGATTGCACATCATCGCCCGCCAACTAACGACATGTTCTAACCCATTAAGAGTAGGGAAAAAATGTGAGTATATGAGAATACTCAATAGGATACGAATTAATGGTGCAATCCCGAATAAAATATTTAAAACATGTGTCAAAATATCATACAGTCATTATATTTTTAGAAACCGATAAGAGCTCAATAAATATTATATCTTCGGTACCGGATTGTCATATTATATCTTTAACTTTCATAAGTATAATAATTCATCAACATGGAAAAAAATAATTTAAACGGGATAAAATCAACTGCACTTCGTTATCCTACCTTGTTAGATTTCTTAAATTTGAAAGACAAAACTAAAAGAAATCACGTTCACTTAATTCTTTCTGCCTCTGTCGTATTTTTGCGTATACATACAGTGCAGAAAAGTTATTGCCTTCATGAATTATATGTTATAACAAACTCTATAGAAAGTGAGGATAAGGGTATTGGACTTCGTGTAAATGTCATGTTTCAAACAACACGTCTCTATCATGTAAAATGAAATATCTGAACAACAACTTTATGGACACATGATGCTAAAGATTTTACAACAAAAATATAAGAATAATAAAATAAAAACCACTTGATAATCTCTTCAACAACTCACGTGGTTGTACCATAATACAAAATCCTTATTTAATAATAATAATAATAATAATAATAATAATAATAATAATAATAATAATAATAAACCAATTAACATCTTACTA